TGGCATCCCGCTCCCACCCTTTCACTGTAGAAACTTTTAAATGTAGCCATCTCTTCTACTCCAATAGCTTCATACCTCCTCGCACCTCTCGCCTGTGGAACACCCTTCCCAATTACTGTTTCCCTGAGAGCTATAATCTCCAACTATTCAAATGTAATGTCAATCGACATCTCCAGTTACTTGATCTATCCACTATCCCTATCCATCCTTTCTTCTATCACCTATCTGCCTCATCCTTTGCAACCCCTGCATCCTAGTGGCTTCATGCCTTGCTCGGGGCGTAATGCTTAAAAAAAAATAAAGCTACAACTGGAAAAGATTTGTCTGTATGTATATTTGTTTTTTTTTCTATTTGTATTGATGAAAGCATGCACATTACAATCATAGGCTAGTTCAATTTTCTTGATTTTGTAGCTGTGATGAAGTATGTAAAAATGGTTACCCTTGTAACACTAAAAGCGGACTTCCTCAGCTGGCCGAGGTTCGGTTCTGAAATATAAATTGAATGCTTAGATGAAATAAAGCTTTTTTTGAATGACAAACAAGTATCTTACCAAGAATTGTCTAACATCAAGGGGATTTGTAAAATGATGTTTTTGAAGATTTTTGTGAACATTTAAAAGACTTGAATATTAAATTACAGGGCTCTGGTAAGACACTTGAGACTTTGTTTTGTTACATAAAGGCTTTTCAAAATGAAACTAGAAGTTTTTAGGGGAGATGTAAATAATGAGAGATTTAGATACTTCCCCAACCTAAAGACATACATCAAGGATCTCACAAAAGATGACAGAACAGACTGCTAATGTCTTCAAAAGCTGTTTGTAAACATCATCAAATCAACTGTTGAGCAGTTCTTTACAAGATTTAATAAATTCAGAGAACAGGAAGAGACAGCAAAATCCATTAAGTTTCCAGACAGTATCAAACTGGATGAACTGAACTTTCAAATGTTTTCATAGATAGATCTGGATGATTTTGAAATGCAGTTGATTGAATTTCAAAGTAGCTCAATTTGGAAGCAGAAATTTATTGACCTTAGAGTTGACTTGGAAAATATTGAAAAGGAGCAATTAAAGATGGGAGTATGAGAGAGAAATGTGGAAAACAAGGTAGTAAGAACTTGGAATACCATTCCAGAGAATTTTGTCTGTTTTAAAAAAAAAAACTTGCAACAGCATTACTATCCATGTTTTCATCTACATATGCTTGTGAATCTCTGTTCTCAGTGATGAACTTTGTTAAGTCTTGTAACAAGAGTTAGCTTGATGGATGAAACTAGTAGTGCATGCATATCTCTCAAGGTTACTAAATATAAATCCAATATAAAATCGCAGTCATCAGTGATCAAGTCCATTGATAATATGTAAAAAGAGTCAACAAGTTTTCTATCTCTAATTTTATCTGATGTTTTCTTTTGAAAGTGGCAAAGGGGCAGGGCTTTTTAAATGTAGTTGTGAAGGTATATTATATAAATATATATATAAAATTTAAAAATTTATTCATTTTCCAAAAGATTATTTTCAATAACCTTTTACAGTGTTTTAATCATAAGAACGTATAACTGGGAAAAAAGTGGTGATTGATTAATTGAAAAATTAGAGTTAACTTTTTTTAATTGATGCTAATAATAGTTAATAATGTTTTTAAATTGTCAGAATATGTATGGCAGTTTCATTTATACTTACAAGCTAAAAAAATATCACAAAAAACATTTTCATAAAAACCTGTCATAATTTTTTTAATTCAGTCAGTTTTACATGATTTACATAATTTCCTAAAATACTGTCTTTACTGCTTTGCAGGGTGGATTTTTTATTATTAAAAAAAGTTCTTCACATAATTAAGAGATATCAAATAATGTGCTTCCCAAACATTTTTGCTGGCACATGGAAAAATTTTGTCAGCGATTTGGCTGGTTTTGGCATGCATTTTCAAAAAGATTGTGCACCCCTGATCTAGGAGAAGGAAACCGATATAAAATGATCCTTTTTGCCTCATAATAATACCTAAAAATATAACAAAATATGACATCTCCTGTTACATGAAATCACACCAAGCTGAAATCAAAGATCAGGAAAGGTCTAGTCAGCCACCTCATTTATCAACATCAAGTAAAAAATCCAAAGTTTAAAACTTCTTCAATTAGAAAATAGGCCAAATCACTGTCCAGTTAGGATCAGATCTTTTTAGAAGAATGCAAGAAAGTAAACCTTGATGTTGTCTGTATGCAAGAGCTAATGGCATCAATTCCCTCAAAGCTGCCATTTTGGAGGAATTGGACCAAGGTGTTCAAAGACAAAGTGATTAAGAGTTGTACAGCTTTTCAAAATCATGTGAAGGCTGTAACTTAATCTAATGGAAGCAACATCAAATAAATTATTAATCCTCATATTATAAGTTTTAATAATATCTATTTGTATTAATAGACGTATTTATTCAAGATAAATGTGTTTCAAAAGTTTTAACAATTTTTCTAGTTTTGTTTCCTCACTTTGTCTACATATGAGGGTGGGGGTACTAAAAATTTCTTAGGCAGACCCACTTTTATCTAGCACAATAGTGAAATATTAGACATTTTTACTTAAGGACTTCTTGATCAGGCTGATAACTTTTTAGCATGTGTGCATGGAGTATGTATGTGTATATATATTTTATGCACACACATATATTTTATTAAGATTTCCCAAATTTGTAAGACCTGATAGCTGCAATACACACTGTTTAAAATAAAAATGGGGCTGTCTATTTCAAATACTCATATCCACTATAATGTTTGAAATAATAAAAATGCTGGATTAATAAATCCATTTCGTATATATTATAAATTTACTAATTTAAAAATATGGTCCCATTGCTACACAGGAATTACCATGTTTCAAAAGCAGAGACTAAATACTTCAAATTTAATTATAGAATAAAATGAAAATCCTTAGTACCGTTTCATTTTCAAGTGATTTTTGGAATAACTTATTTTGAAATTTACTCAAGAACACATGGCACAAAGGCGTTGGTTAGATCCAGTGACAGGACCCAGAGTGTGAGTTCAATACCTGGTTAAGGCAGTGGAGAACTTTCAGAAGGAAATTAACAGAAAATAAATGATAACTGACATCCATTAAAAACATGGCATGTGGAACTAGAACAGTCTACACCAGTGAGCAGAATAAAGGGTTCAGTTCAACATTCCAACCTCCTGAAGAAGGCCGGAGCATACAATGGTCAAAATGTTGTAATAAATATGACGACAAAGATGAGGATAATGGTTTGAATAATGTAAATAATACCTCATCTCAGAAATATAGACAGATACTAAAGGGCCGAAATGTAATAAATATGGCGACAAAGATGAAGACAATAGTCCGAATAATATAAATAGTGTACATAATACCTCATCTCAAAAATATAGACAGATACTAAATTTATAATGTTTATGCTCTGCAGAATTGTACTGAGCATGGTTTTTTAAAAATAATTAATAAAAATACAGGATTATAAATCTTACTGTTCTTTCTCATTATTTTAAAATATATATATATTTATATATATTTTTATGTGTGTGTGTGTGTGTGTGTGTGTGTGTCTTTGTGTGCAAATGAGATTTCTGTGCAAAATGCTCACCAAACATTATAATGGCACCATTATTACTTTCATTCTTTCTTTGAAATATATTATATTCATTCTGCCACAGATAAAGTGACCAAAGGAATCCTGAAAATCTCTCATAAGAATGTAACCAATATAACGCTTTACTAGTAGTCAGATTATTTCTTATAACTTTGGTAGACTAAAACATTTCCCACATGGAAACTGGAAATCTTTTACCATTTCAGAGAAGATATTCAACAGATCTCACAGAGACTGCCCTCAGTCGATTCCCAAATTCTGCAGATAAAAGACAAGACGCACTTTGTAGAATGACTTGTGAGAGATAAAAATGTCGCCTGATTTGTTACCAAAATATATAAAAACGTAAGCCTATAATCTGTTTCACAACCTCTTCAGGTAAGAATAGAAGAAGCCTAAGACATGCAAAACTGATTGGTACTGCAAATCTAACATTTGGAGACAAAGTTCTGTTTTGTATTAGATCTTGTTTGGGTGTCTTGGGAATTGTGGAATCTGTCCATTCCGACATTACCCAAAGCAGCTAAGTCACTATCATAGTCGCTTTGTGTTCTTGATGGAATTATTTGGAATTTTATCTTCTGCTTTTATTGGTTTGGCTTTTGGTTGGAACTTTGCTTTTATGCATGTATAAATGAAGTGACAAGTTGATTATCTCTGAAGTAATATCCCAGAACTAAGTTTGGCCATAAAAAAAACATAATAAAAAACAGTGATTGTTTCAAGGAGAGGGGTTAATTTTTTTGTTATGGCTTTAGGCCAGTTTGCAGTGGGGAGGGTGCTGCCTATTCCTGAAATAATGGGGTGCATTAGAATACCTGTTTTGTGGGTTTTAGGGAGACCATAAAGTTTGGGTATCTAGACTAACATTTGGGTTCATTTTTAATTAGTTTCCTAATCAGATTGTTAAATTTTTCTGCTTCTGTAATTAATTTCTGTGCATTTATTTTTGCATTGGTGTCAGTCTTGTTTAGTAGTAGATTGATTTTTTTTTCATTATATGAGTTCTTATTCATTATGACAATCCCACTCACCTTGTCCATGGAGGAAATGTAAATTTCCTGATTTTTTGAAAGTCCCCTTGTAAGGGTCTCTGTGGTAATGAATTTTCATTATTTTGCCTCATTATTTCAGGAATAGGCAGTACCTCCACAACAAACTAGCTATTCATAACAAAATTTTAACCCCTCTCCTTGGAACACTCAATCCATCAAAATTTGAGCAACCTAGTTGAAAACCTCAGGAAAGCAAATATGACTGACAAACTCATGACCAGTAGAGATATAAATTCACTTTACATACATATGTAGGGTTTAGATGGATAAATTGTTTTCTAAATAAAGCAAAAATGGAAAGAATACTGACAAATCCTTTTAAAAGATATATTTACCAAAATTGATCAGAGAGGATAAGAGTGAGAGGGGTAGAGAGAGAGAATAAGACTGAGAGGTGTAGAGAGAGAGGATAAGACTGAGAGGGGTAGAGAGAGAGGATAAGACTGAGAGGGGTAGGGAGGGGGATAAGACTGAGAGGTGTAGAGAGGGGTATAAGACTGAGAGGTGTAGAGAGGGGTATAAGACTGAGAGGGGTAGGGAGAGGAGATAAGACAGAGGTCTAGAGAGAGGGGATAAGACAGAGGTAGAGAGAGGGGATAAGACAGAGGTGTAGAGAGAGGGGATAAGACTGAGAGGTGTAGAGAGAGGGGATAAGACTGAGAGAGGAGATAAGACTGAGAGGTGTAGAGAGAGGGGATAAGACTGAGAGGTGTAGAGAGAGGGGATAAGACTGAGAGGTGTAGAGAGAGGGGATAAAACTGAGATGTGTAGAGAGAGGGGATAAGACAGAGGTGTAGAGAGAGGGGATAAGACTGAGATGGGCAGACAAAGAGAATAAGAATGTGAAATTAAACAAAGAGGAAAACACTGGGAGGGGTAGACAAAGATGAAAAGACTGAGACAAATGGTGTGATAGAGAGAAGGAGTTATCATTGGCTTGAAGATCAGTTTATTTTTTTCTTATACACATTTCAAGTAAAACAAACAATAAAAAACAATATTAATACATTAAATGTTAGGATTCTCATTTAAAGGATTTCATTATTAATTTTACAAAAAAGAATTTATCTTAAGAGTGAAATTGGATAATATCTACAAGAAGACATCAGATTTCTGTTTCTGTTTTAGATTTGCGAACTATCTGAAAATGTCAAAACACTGAAAAAGAACTGCAATTAGAATAGGTACCAGATTTACTTGCATAAAATTATAAATTTAAAATTAATGTTTTAGTTATATTTGTCATCAAATTATTAAATATATTCTTTTTCCTCTTAATATTCCCAAATGTATTCCTACTAAGAGTGAGAGTCTGAATGTTTCTTTCTCTTTTCAAATTCATTTTATAATGTAATCACGTGTTTTCAGTTTCAGTTCTTTGGGTGAATAAATTGATCATAACCTGTAATAATTCATGTTTACACTGTAAACTTGAAATTTCATATGAAATGCTATCAACTATCTTTTTTCATTTTTTTTTATTAAATTACTGACAAACCAAAAACTTTCATTAATTTTCATTTTCACATGTTAATCTGGTGCTTATTTTAGACTCTTACTATAAGAATTTCTTGCTCTTAACTTATATATCTTACATTTAAATCCTTTTTCCCCAAAAAAGAATCCATAATACAATGATTTCTTAAAAATCATTTCACCCCAAGCAAGGCAATAAAGCCACTAAAAACCTAGGGTTTACTGAGTGTTAGAGAACATAAGAAAAAAAATAAAATACTATAAAATAGAGAGAACATTAAAAGAACAAGAATTAAGAATATAGTAGATAACAATTGATATTGCATTTAAATTTTTGAAGATCAGATTTAACTGGGAAGCAAGAAGCCAGCAGATAGTTCCACAAGCAAGAAATGGAAGAGAAGTAACTGTTAGCATAGAACTTATGGTTACATCAAGCCATTTCAACTGTAAAATGATGAGACCATACTGCCAATCTAGTAATGCACTTAAATTCATAAAGTCTAGGTTCCATATAGGAAAAGTTCATCAGAACAATTACCATGAAAGTATTTATAGAAAAAGACAGAGGGAAGCTACATTATGATGGTGGGAAAGTGATTGAATCCAAAATGCCAAATCAGTACCAATAACATTACAAATGTTTGTATTTTATCAAGAAAAAATATATAATAAGAGCACCAGGCCAGAGGGGCAATATTCAAAGCAAGGATGAATGGTAGACTTCAAAATGAAAAAGACTGACAAGAAAAATGGTCTAGCATGATAGGAACCAACTTTCCTGGCAGCTGACCTAGTAATTGATTTGATGTGGGGAGAAACGAGTTAAACGTTCTCGCATCTTCCTGGCCTTGGGTTGAAGAAAAAAATTCAAAATGTTTATTTTTAATATTCTTATAGTCACATTCGCGTACAAGTAATGAGGTGTGTCTGGGCTCCAAAACAAACAATGGCAAAAACCCGTGCTATTAATTTTCAGACGGAAAGATTGCGTAACTGTTTCTGTTAGGATTTTCATTTAAGCATGGACAGATTCATTGAAGTTAATTTTACAAAAAAAAAATTTATCTTAAGAGTGTATCAGAAATTGGAGGAAATAATATCTCTATAAGAAGACATCAGGCATTTCTGTTTCTGTTTTGAAACAGTAGATTTTTCTGGCCGATTTGAAGCTATCCTAAAATGTCAAAACACTGAAAAGAACTGCAATTAGAATAGGATGACCAGATTTACTTGCATAAAAAGGTATAAATTTAAAATTAATGTTTTAATATAAGCTGTCATCTTGAATTATTAAATATATTCTTTTTCCTCTTAAGACCCTTGTCGCATTCCCAAATATTCAGTTCTGACTCCTTTCTACTAACCTCTTGTGAGAGTCTGAATGTTTCTTTTTAGCTTTTGGTCGTGGACGGAGGGCTTCATTTTATAATGGACGCTAATCAAAAAATTTATCTGTTCGTTTTTCACTGAAACAGTTTCAGTTCTTTGGTGAATAAATTGATCATAACCTGTCCTGGGCCGGTATAATTCATGTTTAACCGCCAGAGAAGCTGTAAACTTGAAATTTCATATGAAATGCTATCAACCTGATTAATAACTTTTTTCATTTTTTTTTATTAAATTTCTCCACAAACCAAAAAGCGAGCATCACCCTTAATTTTCATTTTACATGTTAATCTGGTGGATTATTTTAGAATCTCTTACTATAAAAATTTGCCCTGACCCTTTTGGAAATTATATATCAGATGATTTTGACGCCATTTAAATGAGCTTTTACAGCGGGCCCTTTAAAAAGAATCCATAATAAGGGAATTTTCTTAAAATCATTTCACCCCAAAGATAACAAGGCAATAACATGCCCTCTAAAAACCTAGGTTTACTGAGTGTTTTAGAGAATCTGGCGTAAGGAAAAAAATAAAATACTATAAAAAATAGAGAGAACATTAAAGAAGCAAGAATTAAGAATACTAGTAGATAAACAATTGATATTGCGATTTAAATTTTTCACTGAAGATCAGATTTGACCGGAGGCCAGGGTGCGGACTAAAGCCACCAGAATCCCAGCAGATTTAGTTCCAGAGGAGCAAGAAATGGAAGCAGATTGTTTAACTGCCGCAAAGGTTAGCATAGAACTTATGGTTACAAATCAAGCCCATTTCAAAGTGGGCAAAAATGATTTCGCCAGACCATAAAAGACAGACGTCAGGAAGTGGTCCAGAAGCTGCCAATCTAAGTAATGAGCAGGAAATTCACCTGGAAGTCTAGGTTCCATAGGTTTGAAAAGTTCATCAGAATCATCCGTCAAAACAGCATTACTCCCCAACGGAAAGGCACCGCATTCACCAGCGAGCAGAAAGCGGATGGCTGGGGAAAAACCACGACAGAGGGAAGCTAACCATTATGATGGTGGAACAAGTGATTGATTCATATACGGCGCCAAATGCCAAATCAACCCACTGTACCAATAACCGTACAAATGCACCACGAAATCTATGTATTTTATCAAGAATCTATAAATATATAATCGGAATCTGAAGTGAGGCATCCCTGGTTCAGGCCAGATATCAGTAGCCTGTGGCAGCAATATTCAAAACCCGGCAAGGATGAATGGTAGAAACTTACAAACGTTATCTTCCTGGCCTGTGGGTTGAGAAAGGCGTCCGTGACTCTGACAAGAAAAAAAGGTTGTCTATAAAAGCAGGTTGCTTGGAACATTGAACCAACTTTCCTGGCAGCTTTTCAGACCTCCTTACACTGTTTAATTGATTTTGATATAATCTTTCCAACTTCATGTCAGTGGAAAATATTTATTATTAATGAACTCAATAGTCAGAAATTCTCCAACATGTCATTATTCAACAAATTAACTGAACATGTATCTATCTTATTCTTATATAAGGGTGTATTAAAAAGTATTTTTGTTCAATGTATGGTATCTTTTGACTATTTTAACTCTTCCAAAAGAGTTTTAATCAAAAACAGCAAATTCTCAAAAGTAAGGATAAAAGTCGAGTGCTTCGTGCACCAAAATTAATTACAACCTGAAACCAGATAAAGCTTCAGAAATAGTTTTCGAAAATAATTCAAAAAGCAAATAGAAATTGAAAAAAACTAATTTTGAATTATATTTCAAACAAATAAAACAAAATGAAATTTTGTTTTATGTTTGCAAAATTAAAAAAATGATCTGAGAGAAAAAAAGTGCTCAGTGTGACTGCTGGTTTCTTTAATAATCTCATTATAATAAATCTGTTAAAAACAACAGTGTTTTTAATATAATAAAGAAAGTATATTAAATAATTCCAAGTCAAAGGTAGCATTGATGAGATTGACCACAATGAATACCAAATGTTTTCTTTTAAAAAAATGGCTTATATTACCATTGTTACAGGTTGTTTGAATAAATGGCTTGCTTAGATTTTAATGCTTAAAAAAATGTTATGTTCTTTAAAGTTTCATAACAATAAGCTGCGATAATTTGAGTAGATTTGGTTGTTCATAATTTGAAATTCAGATTTTATTTTTTTTTTTGCATCAAACAATTTTTCACTCTTAATTCAAGTAACATTCCGTTATCATAGACTGATTTAAAAAATCTGACAGAAATCATCAGGACTATAAACCTGACATAATTATATTGAACTGTCCATGTCACAAGTTTTCTTCTTCTATGTAATATATCACTTCCTATCTTTTGTATCTCCTAGAAAATTTCTCAATCTCTCTTCTGCCATTCATTTACAGAAACTCATTAGCTTGGCTTACTCATTGCTTTCCTCTGTCCTACCTACATTTAATCTGTTCCGTGAGTGTCAAATTCTCCAGGCTCACTTTCCTCCCTAAACTTTCTAGAAATTTCAACAGTTTATTTCTCATTCAAAGTATGAGTATACTTTATTTTTCCATTTTTCCTTTAAACTTCCTTGTTATTCACATGTTCACTCCATGGTTTTCCATGGACTGAACATGTATGTGTGTGTGTGTGTGTGTGTGTGTGTGTGTATACAATCACAACCAACTAGAATGACTCAATGTATTAGGATATATTAAAAGTATTTCTATTTTTTACAGATCATTACTCTAAATCTTATTTTATGTAAACTTCAAAATCTAATACAACCATACGACATCATCATTATTATATATTAAAGTGTATCAAATCATTCACATTTTTTACAGCCTTTAATGTGAAAGCTAATTTTTTCATGTACATATCACAATACTGTTGACTACACTTTATCATATTTCTCATAAACAATAATAATCAGGTATACATTTTATTTAAGATGTTTTAATGGTAGATACAAGTACAAATGGGCTTCAAAACCTGCTGAACTGCTGGAAAAATTCAGAAAATGGAAATAAACAAAATGATATCAAACCATAGTGCCTAAAAATGATCTAAGAGTGGTGATTTGTTTTTTAAAGTAAGACATGAGGGACCATCATTTGTT